TCTCATATATAAACCCACTCCCTAAGCTGACCCTTAAAATCAGTATCAATGGTATGTTTCGTACATAAGCCGTACATGGGGTCTTAATTGCGAGCTACTCAGACCACAAGACAACTGACAGTTACCGACAATCATACAAGTTTGACGAAAGTGTTACCTGTAGATAAGCCGACCCCCTTCCACAGGATGCTTTTTTGGGGCTTCAAGATTTGGCTTATCTACTAGTGGTGGTCCGATCAATTGAAATAATCGATGATTGGTCGCAGTGACTAAACGCCCAAGCAATCGATCATGTTTTCTCATAATCGAACACAAACAATTTTGGAACACTTATTTTGCTTTAACAAATGTTTCACAGGGTTGGTTTTGTCTGTTACATTTCAAAAGCACAACCAGCTCGTTCCAAGTCAGGATTGAATTTATCTTAAAGACTCCAAGAGCTTTAGGTTCCTAACATACTAGTCATCCTTTAAAGATGTAAAATTTGCAAAAGCATTTTAGGCAATTTGCAAAAAACCCGAAAGAACTACATGTTTTTTCTTTATTTTTTGTGCATTAAGAAACATAATCAGGAAAATTAGATAAATGACACGAACCAATTATTTTCGCTGATTGATAGGTTGTGATGAACCAATCATCAATTATGAGATTTAAACCAATTGCCATCACTATTATCTACTGTAATATATGGTACATTTTCTGTCAGTTTGGTTCCCAACTAGTACTGCTTCAACAAGACAAACATATTTACTATGTTTACATTTCCGGCTTTATTCAACGTCATTTGCAGCAAAATTGAACACGCTGAACAGTGGTTCAGAATAACCAGGGGATTTTTTATTTCTCTACACAATATCCCTGTCTCAGGCCAGTGGACTAGTGTGAATTTTGAAGGCTAGGAACAGGCACTGGTTTAGAAAACAGGAGTGAGTGAGTGAGTGAATTGGGTTTTACGCCGCTTTTAGCAATATTCCAGCAATATCACGGCGGAGGACACCATAAATGGGCTTCACACATTGTGCCCATGTGGGGATTCGAACCCGGGTCGTCAGCGTGGCGAGCCGACGCTTTAACCATCAGGCTACCCCACCGCCCTTAGAAAAATGGACTATTCAGCAAGCCAAGAATATGTAATATGATATACTCTAACATAATTTAGCACAATGTTCTGTACATACAATGGTAACAAAGAAACAAAAAGTATGTTCAAATGTACAAACACGCAAGTTCTAACATTCAAAAGTCACTTCCAAAAGAAGACCCCAACTAAGTGTACAAGCTCCTCCCTCAGTTCTAGCTGTATACATACAGGGTTCTACTGTCACAGCCAGTGTAGATACACAACATACACAAACCTCTGTCGGATGGACACTCTCACACCACAACACCATCACTGTTCCTCTATCGTCAGTGAAGACATCTGGACCCGATTTCTCAAAACAAACTTTAGTCTGAGTTTCGACTTAAGTTAGAGTTTTTACTCAAATTTGAGAAAATTCAGGAAAATGCATTTGCCAGAATGAACTGAAATCGATATTGAACTCAAACATGGTAGACAATTTGAGTTTTGTGGATAGATTACTTAAGTTGTTTGGGCTTTTTTATTTTAAAAATGCAGTTGAGTTAAAAATTCATCTGTTTAAAATTGTCAAACTCAGTTTGAAATTTGAGTAAAAACTTAAGTTTGTTTTGAGAAATCAGGGCCCGGCTTTGATGCTGTTTTGAACAAAATGAGTTTAGAGGACCACTCACATTACCCTGGCTAAATAAAAGCCCATAAATAAATATTTAAGACGCAACCCCAGTGTCAGATGCTGGCTAATCTTGTCCCGAGTCCAAATGACCAACATATGGAAGTATCTTTTGGTCTCTTTGCATGTGTAACAGACACAAGGGGAGCGTGTATTCCTGTGCACAGAGCGCAGGTAACGAATCAGTTTTAGTTCAACGGCGAGCTCGGACAGTCCTTGGATGGGTGACCGTGTTTGACAGCTTGACTCCTGAGAGTTTCTAGGACTTTCCGTCCTGCCCCACAACGAAGCACATCTGATACATGAGGTCTCACCTTAGGCAAGGGAGTTTATTCAAAATTGCCTCTGTTCACCCAGCAGAAAATGGGTACCCGGTTGGATAATGTCATGTGACAATAACCTTCTAGCGTCTAACAGGCAGCTTGGGTTATCCGGGGTAATAATAATCATGGTGTTAGCGCTTTGAGCATTCTTGTTGCGTGGAGATCAGTGCATTATAAGACTTCTCATTATTATTATTTTTAGGTGGGGTGGCCTAGTGGTTAAAGTGCTCGCTCATCACACTGAAGGCCTGGGTTCGATTCCCTACATGGGTGCAATGTGCGAAGCCCATTTATGGTGTCCCCTGCAGTATTGCTGGAATATTACTGAAAGTGGCGTAAAACTAAACTCACTCAATCTCACTCTACCACACACAACCGTGCTGACTAAACAGGGTTATAAGTGGTAAACTTCATTCAAATTCTACAAGATCAATATCCGCCACATGAGCATAATAAAATGTATGTTAATGCCTGAGGTTCATGTTTATGTAAGTTAGTTTTACGCCGCTTTTAGCAATATTCCAGCTATATCACAGCTTGGGACACTATAAATGCGCTGAACACATTGTACCCTTGTGAGGAATCGAACCCAGACCTTTGGTGTAATGAGCGAATGCTATGTCCACTTGTCTACCCCACCTCCCCGAATAACAATCTGGATAACAGTGGAAGTGATAGTAGATCTATCACAAGGAACAGTTACACAGTTTTGTTAAAATCTGACCTCTTACTCAGTAAAGAATACACAATGCCATTTAGAAAGTGGTCAAATGCAACATGCTGTATTTGGGATTACACTTTCTCAGCGAAGTACAGAATCCAGGGAATTGGTTAATATGTCATAACTGATGATCGCTTCATTACAAGTGATCAATCATTGAAAATAATTCGTAAGCATCATTTATCAAGTTTTCCTGGTTATGTTCATTAATGCACACAAAAATACAGAAAAAAACATACAGTTCTTTCGTGGGGGTTTCAAATTGCACAAAATGCATTTGCAAATTTCACATCTTTAAAGGATGACTAGTATGTTTGGAACATAAATTCCCTTTAAGTCTTTAAGATTAATTCAATCAATGACTTGGAACAAGAATGTTGACCAAACCAACCTTAAGAAAAATATTGTTCATGCAAACAAGTGTTCAAAATTGTTTGTGTTCGATTATGAGAAAAGATGATCGACTGCTTGGTCGTTTAGTCACAGCCACCAATCTTGGATTATTTCAATTAATCTGACCACCCCCAACAGAATCCAGTACTTTTTTTGGTTGAGTCTCTGTGTGCTGGCCATTATGTGCCTGGCTCTGAGAGTGTGGATTTGAATACCGGATGGCACTCCAACCCCAAAAGTACTAAAATCTGCTTTTAACTGAGAAAGGGTAATCCAAATATAATATGTTGTTCTTAATCGGTTGTGATACCTATCTGTTTGAAGATCAAGGACATTCTCAAGTCAGGTGAATCCTAAATAAACACTATTCATCTGGATGAGTGAGTGAATAAGTATATTTTTAGTAATATTCCAGCAATATCATGCCCGGGGGACACCGAAATTGGGCTTCACACATTGTACCCATGTGGGGAATCAAACCTGGGTCTTCGACAAGACGAGCAAACACTTAAACCACTTGGCTTCTCGACCTCACCTTCATCTGGGTGAAGATATCCCTGTCCACTGATACAATAGGCTAAAAAAATATGTTTTTAAAATCTGAACTACTTGACTAATTCATTTTGAACAGAGAAATTATATACAATAAACTACAGTTGCAATGACATCAATTCTAACATCAATTCATTATAACTATACTTCATTATACTGATTCAATATAAGTTAACTTCATTATAACTGTACTTCAATATACTGTTTCCTTTCAACTGTCCTTCATTACACGTAATTCATTACAACTGTACTTTATTGCACTGATTTGTAATAACTGTACTTCTAACATACTCAACTGATAACTACTTCTTTATACTGAGGTTATAACTGCACTTCATTATACCGACTATACCTGTTATAACTTTATTTATACTGATTATACATGTTATAACTATTTCATTATATCAATTATACCTGTTATAACTGTACCTCATATCAATTATACCTGCTATAACTGTACTTCATTAAACCAATTACATTATACGCAATTTGTTTTAACTGTACTTCAATATTACTGATTCAGTAGAACTGTACTTCAATATACTGATTCAGTAGAACTGTACTTCAATATACTGATTCAGTAGAACTGTACTTCAATATACTGATTCAGTAGAACTGTACTTCAATATTACTGATTCAGTAGAACTGTACTTCAATATTACTGATTCAGTAGAACTGTACTTCAATATACTGATTCAGTAGAACTGTACTTCAATATTACTGATTCAGTAGAACTGTACTTCAATATTACTGATTCAGTAGAACTGTACTTCAATATTCAGAGCTACAGATAACTTTTTGGGTCATTGAGTTATGTACTCACTTGTGTTCATCTCAATTGGGTATCCTAATTTTCCTTTGAGTAACCAAATAAATTGTACTCACCTCAATCAAACTCATTTGGGTATTTTGCCATTTTCCATTAATTTTAAAAATATAATATAGCTTAAATAATAGGGTTTGTGATTTACCTTTGATATCTAATATGAGAAACGATAAGAAAGACTGCAATATGTCAAGCTCATGTCCTAAAATAGAGCCTCTCAATATGTCAGCTATTTTATCTATCCACCGGTACGCAAGCTACGACTTGACACTTTTGTGTGTACGCATGTAAGATCACATTTATTGAGTATTTACAAAACTTCAAGCGTACTTGTACGCAATAGACTTAATGGGAATTGGGTTTTCACATAAATGTTTGCGTAATTTACGCAGATACGCAGCTTATCTGTACCTCTGAATATTACTGATTCAGTAGAACTGTACTTCATAAAGTCAATAAGGTTGTTATAACCATTGTAGGTTTGTCTGAATTATACATAAAAATTAAGAACACCTGTTGGCCAATTAGAGTATCACTTGTACAGCCTCTCATGATAGCGTCCGCCTATCTTCAAACAGAAAGGTATCAAATCCGAGTAAAAGACTGGTTTCATCCAGATTAAACAGTTACACAACAAATCTGTGGCCAAGGTGACAGGGTCATCCACTAAAAACAGACTGGCACATACACAGCACTTCTTTACCTGTCTCCAGCTACAGGATAATCACAAATGAACATATATTTCTAATGAGTTTTGTTTACCTCAACAACTTAATTAAGACAATAAAGTATAGTTTCAATATAACATAATCAAGACAATCACATACCCACTGATCTCTTCATCCCCAACATGAAACATCAGAGGATAACAAAGTTGCACAAAGGCCGAGCGTTTCTCTGAATAATCCTTGTTAAAGAAACCCGCTAATATTAATAGTGTTAAACATGTATGGCTGCCCGATGGTCCTTCAACTTTACCCCTGGAGTGTTTTGGCCAAAGAATCAACAAATTCTTCCATTTTAACAAAAACATGATGACAAAGACATTTTCAAATCCATACATAATTTCGAATGATCATGAATAAAGGTTTATGATAAACATGGAACTGCCATAACTTTCAGGAACTGAATAAAAAGTATGAGGACTCCCACGTCAAATTTGTCAGTGAGAGCCCTTTGGGACCCTTCTAAGCATTACTTACTGCTACACTGAACCTAAGTTCAACACTTAATCTTACCCAAGTTCAAGACTGAACTTCTCAGTTCAACACTGAATCGTACCCATTTGAACACTCAACCATACTTAGTTCAACCCTGAACTTACTTAGTTCAACCTGAAAGTAAGTTAAACATGGTAACAAGTTTCAAACAAACATCCCAATGACTTAAATATGAGCTGACACGGTGAGAGTGAGGCGTCCACCACCAGTCCACTAAGAGGTATTAGAGAGTGCTCCCTATTCTGACAGGTTCTGCAAGAGTTTCAGACGACCAGCCTCATAGTCATCCTCATCCACGTTCACCAGCAGCTTAATAGCCTCATGACCCACAGCCTGCTTCAGGGACTCTGTAACAACAATGCAAACATCATAATAATAACAAGTGTTTGCCACTGATATGTCAATGTCCCCGGCCGCTAAAGAATGGAACACATTTCAAATCAACTGGTGTCTGTGTAATCCCCCAATGTAGGCTGTCACCAAATTTGAAGACATTGGGTACAACAGTTCATGAGATATCGTGTTAACAAGAGTTTGAAAAGTGGTCGAAGTGTTGTGGTGACCTTGAAGATAAGGTCAATGTCACCCAAATCAACTGGTGTCTGCCTAATCCCCCAATGTAGGCTGTCAACATAATTGAAAACATTGGGTGCAATGTTTTATGAGATATCGTGTTAACAAGAGTTTGAAAAGTGATCAAAGTGTCGTGGTGACCTTGAAAAGGTCAAGGTCACCCAAATCAACTGGTGTCTGCGTAATCCCCCAATGTAGGCTGTCACCCAATCTGAAGACAAGAGTTTGAAAAGTGGTCAAGTGTCGTGGTGACCTTGAATCAGTACGTACGTACGTACAGAGGCTGCTGAATACATAGTCCCCCGTTCCGCGTTGCGGCCGGGGAGAACAATGGACATTTATACTGCACCTGTAACCACACACTTGTGCATGTTCATGGTGCTACAATTACAATTACAAGTCCAGTTATGATTCACTCCGGTATTCGTCGAGTCGAACCATATCCCTTCTTGAATTTAATTAATTATTCATGGTCACTAGAATCGAATATTTAGGCAAAGAACCAATGAGGTCCACTTATCAGCAGGTTGTAGCACTGAGGATCTGCTCAGCTCCTAGTGCAACCTTCAAACAAGCAAAAACAAAGGCATTCTAACCAATACCACACACTCGATATGGATGTGCAACTTCTATACTATTTACACACGACGTTTCTGGGCTAATGCTTGCCCCTTCGTTCACCCGATGAAGGGGCAAGCATTAGTCCAGAAACGTTGTATGTATATAATAAAGAAGTTGCACATCCATATCGAGTGTGTTGTATTACCCTACCAACTTCTAAATGCCTATCAAACGCCTTCTTAGCAGCTGTTTCCTAGCAACACGATGAAGCCTGACAACCCACCTGTGATGAAGACTCCCTTGAGTGCCTCCAACAAGGAGCCGTTGATGTAGTCCCTCCAGAACGCATCCAGGTACGTCAGTTCAGAGAACTTAATGTCACAAATGATTGATCCCAAGTCTCTCGGGATTTCAGTATCGTGTTGGCCTGAGCAAACTTTTCAAACTGTCTCTCGATAAGCTCAGGTTTATTTGAAAACACATTCCCATCTAAGGCATTCTCATGTTGGCAGTATTCTGCTCGGACGCGCAGCCGGATATCTGGGACAGAACAAACAGCCAGTCAGTTAGGTTGTGATGTCTAGAGTGAGTGAGTGAGTGAGCGAGCGATATAGTGAGTGACTGAGTGAGGTGGGAGGGAGGGAGGGAGGAGCGAGCTGGGTTCAATTGAGGGAGGAGCGAGCTGGGTTCAATGCCACCTAGAACTATATTCCAGTTATACCGCGGCATGTCAGATTATTGACGGATGAAAGTTCGAGATGATGCGGGGTCTCATTGGTGAAACCCAAAAGGACATGTATGGTACAAACAAACCTAGAAACATAATTGGGGCAAACCAACCATTGTGACTGAAGTCATAAAGAAAGCAAATCTGCAGTTCGAACTGCAGCACCATGGATGACTGGGCCAGCCGCGACCAATTCTGAGTACAACATGCGGCCTTCAAGAGCGACTGGACGAGTCACTGGACATATACGGAAGAATATTGATCCATACCGTTGCCATGACGACATACATTCAGCAGGGTCTGGAGGTGGTCTTCCTTGGTGGTCACCCATCCAAGTACTATACAAACACTGCAGAACATCCTTCATCCTTACATGACAGCCTCCTAGTCACGTGACTCTGCAGCAAAACAGAATAGCCCTGGGGGTGGAGAAATGAAACATATTTAACCAATCAGGAAGACCCCTTGAAAGTGGGGCTTTACAAATCCACCTACAAAACCTAGTTTTCTCATACTTGGCCACCAAAGTGCACATTGGATGGTTCTGCATGCTCTATGTAATGGCGTTATCAGTCTTGAGCATTTCATTTCGAGCCATTTTTCACAATGAAATAAACGTAATTTATATAACTAATAATGCATGTCAGAAAGTGGGACTGCTTCTCATCTGAAATCAAAACAAGAGTCATCAGAAGATGACAAATCCCCCTGGCCCCCACATATTTGAAAGAACAAATCATGACAGGTACTTAAAGTCCAACTTGAATTTTTTTAGACTAAGTCGTTTCCATGGAAATCATGAAAAATATAAATGTCAAAAATTAAAAAGGCACCACTTCAAGGTCTGTTTGATATGTTTGCCAAGCCTTGTAGAAAGATATTGAAAGGTTTTCAATTATTTTAAGTGAATTCCAACACAGTGTAAAGGAAATTTGCCACTCCAAAATCTGCACAAACAAGAGTGAGGTGCATTAATGTTATATTGCAATGTATCAACTTAATGAGTGGGGAGACAGACACAGTTATCAGATACAACCTCAGATGTTTGGTGAAACCACAAATGTGAGTATGGTGCTGACAAAACAATGAACATAACTGGGGCCACCTAGGATTCAAACCCCAATCTTGGGTTTTTGTACGCCAGGGTAATGTAACTCTGTAAAGACAAGAGTGAGTGAGTTTAGTTGTTTTAGCAATATTCCAGCAATATCCAGTGTTTCCATTTCCGTTGACGAGAACAAAGTCAGAATGTCTGGTAATTTAAAGGGCTGTCGGTCATCGTGTCCGACATTTTTTAAAATCAATTTTCTAATTACTTCTGTCAATCTTATTTCCCCTCGAAAAGGATTATGTTTTCACAATGACATTGAGGTGTGATCAAAGAAAAAATAGCAGTTTTGGAAAACCCCAGGCTAAAAATAGCGGCATTAGCACATTGCGATACCCTTTACATTTCTGATTGGTTGTTAGGGTGCAAGGTCTTCCTCACAATGAAAAGCATGATCATTTGACCGGTAAAAGTTACAAATAAAATGAAATGCTAGCCGGTCACAATGTCCAGCTGTAAAATGCCAGTGGAAACACAGAACGGGTTAGAATGAACCTTCAGTAACCCATGCTTGTCGCAAGAGGTGACTAACGGGATCGGGTGGTCAGGCTCGCTGACTTGGTTGAAACATGTCATCAGTTCCCAATTGCGCAGATCGATGCTCATGCTGTTAATCACTGGATTGTCTGGTCCAGACTCGGTTATTTACAGACCACCGCCATACAGCTGGAATATTGCTGAGTACGGCGTTAAACTAAACTCACTCACTATTTTCTTGTCCTGTAACCACTGTAACAACTGCAAGAGAAATTATGTCAATGTGGAATGCAGGGTCATCTTCTAGAAAAACATGATGGCAACTGAATCACCTTGGCGGCAGAATGCAATAAAAAATGAACAAGGGTTAAATTGAATACATACTATGACTACAAAAAACCGTGCATATTGTTCTTCCATTTAATAAATATCTTTCGCTATTTTCAATTTTGGTGGGTGATGGAGAACTCTCAAAACTATTTTATACAAAGAAAATAATAAACTCCATAGATGAATCCAAAAGATTTTAATGTTTCGAGTCCCCTTCAGTTAGAAAATCACACTTTGGAACAAATGCAAATCTACTATGATAAACATTTTAGAGACAAAACATTGTCTTTTTTACAGCATCAAAACACAAAATTCTATGAAAAAGGTGCCAGAACAATTATTTTCTTTTCACAGATCATATTCAAGGGCAGCCAGTAAGAGAGGCTTCTGTGAATTCCACACAAAAGTGATGGTTTGTGTCAGCTGGTGAAGTGCCATCCAGACATCCATTAGGTCCAGAAAAAAATGCGTTTTGGCAGAAGTGTAAAACCTGAGAACAAAGTACATTTTCCTATCATTCTCTTTATCAATCAATTTAAAAACTTAGTCCCGTGCCCTACACGCTTTGAATAAATAATGATCAGTCCCAAAAAATGGCGGATGCCCAAACACAGACCGCTGACTATTAAGGATGTCACAATACTGACTGACTGACTGAATTTGGTTTTACGCAGCTTTTAGCAATATTCCAGCAATATCACGGCGGGGTACACCAGAAATGGGCTTCACACAATGTACCCATGTGGGGATTCGAACCCGGGTCTTCGGCATGACGAGCCAACGCTTTAACGACTAGGCTACCCCACCGCCCGATGTCACAATCAAGTTTCATGAATTGATACATATCACGATACCCATGTCACGATTCGATACGTAGCACAATACATATTTTCGCAGCATTATTGCGCAAATTTAGTTGCTTTTTGAACAGTAATATTTCATATTTTATAATTGTCCATGAAAAGATCAACATTTTCTATTCTGAGAGATTAAAAAGGTTTCCATCTTTGTGCATGAAAAATAATCATTTATAACTCTCATAACATAAAAGACATGATAAAATTGCAAAACGTAAACGATACATAAATATATTTAAACCGATACTTTCAAAACTAAATATAGATACTCTGAATGTAATGAAAATTGTATCATCTTAGAAAAAGTAATGTTGCATCGATGTATCGTGGCATCAGTACTCACTATATGAATATATCCTTATTCTGCATGAACAGTCTCATGAATCAAATTGAACAGTCTATCGATTCCTTATGAGTGAGTGAGTTTGGTTTAACGTTGCTTTTAGCAATATTCCAGCAATACCACACCAGCAATGGAATTCACACATTGTACCCATTCACACATTGCACCCTTTTGGGGAACCCGGGTCCTTGGTGTGACGAGCGAATAATTTAACCACTAGGCTACCCCACCACCCCCGATTCCGTATGAACAATGTACTGCCTCTACACGAGTCGTTTACTGACTCTCATAAACCACCTACTAACCACAGGTTACTTTCTTCTTTATCTCTTCCTCCTCATCTTCTGCTGGCCTCTGCTCCACCTCCTGTGGGGAGGCACATGGCGGCTCCACCCTCTCACACTTCCTGATGCTATTCCTCGTCTTCCTCCTCTTGACTGCGGCAGCTGATGCCTCAGGCTGGTCTGTGTGTCTGGAGACGCTGAGACACGAAGAACAACTCATGCGCTTCCGGGAGGATGGGACCCGGGATGTGCTGTTCTCCAGGTATTCATCTACTGGGTCAGGCTCAACTGTCAACAACAAACGTCACACTGCTAATGAAACAAATGGAGGACCACCAAAACTGATACTTCTTGTCTTGAAGTAAAACCAAATCTTTCGCTGAGACAAGTGAGTGAGTTGGTATGGCTTTTTTGGCAGTATTCCAGCAATATCACGGCAGGGGACACCAGAAATGGGCTTCACACATTGTACCCATTTGGGGAATAGAACCCGGGTCTTCGGCAGCAACCACAAGGCTACCCCACCGCCCCGCTGAGACAAGAGATACACATGTAGCTAATCCATACCATACCTCACAACTAAGGATTGTAAAGAGGTGTTTGATTGGCAAGTGATGCCAACACCTGTGGATGTTTGACTGGAAAGGGGTCCTTAACACCAATAATTTAAAAAGGTGCTTCATTGGAAATTGGTGCAGTAGTAACATGCGCCCAATAATCTGTATTTTTACCAAAATAATAATAATAATGATATTAGATATGATATGAACCTTATGATGACACAGACTATTGCTGCTGTGAAGGGAGCTTACAAAAAGATCAAAATTGTGGCATGTGCCTTTACGGCTTTAGATGACAGAAATATCTAGTCCTAGCGGTTGCCATATCACCATTGACTAAAGAGGGAACTGGACAATTCATACACACCGAGATTCATACGCAAACATTTTTGGCAGAATGGTAACTACTCGTACCTGAATGACTGGAGTGGAAGACTCGTATCCAAAAATGCGAATGCACACCCAATGAATATATATATGATCTGATGTTTGTTTGCTGTTTAACCCTGCACTCACCAATATTCCAGTTATATGCCTGTAAATAATCAAGTCTTGCCTGGCAATCCAGTGATCAACAGCATGAGCATAGATCTACGCAATTGGGATATAATGCCATGTCAACCAAGTCAGGAAACCTGACCATTAAATGATTTGAAGTAATTGTTTGCATTCTAAACTGCATCTTTTACCCAAAGAAACTATATGCAATGACCACAAAATGATATTTTAGACAGGAGATGTGTTGTGGTGAACCGGATATGTTATTACAAACCAACAGCTTAAAATCCAAAAACTTGTTTAGTAATTTCAATTGCTTCTGAACATCTGCATACTTAATAAACAGAATAAACAGGTTCTGAACTAAGATTTTGTTTGATTTGTGTTTCATATAACACATGACAATTTCAATCACCAACTGTGTGGACTTCTAGTTACTCCGACCAACTTCCAGGCCTACTTAGTTTTAAATGTTTAATACTAAAATAACAGTTTGCCACTTCGGCCAACAAATAACTCAGAATAAGTTCCTATCAAAGTGCAGGAATATGTGATGAATAAATTATCACAAAAAAATAGCTTTCATCCTTACACACAGTCTATACTAGACTAGTAGTTAATGTAATCTGATTTTGACCACAAACTAAATGGGTACAGGGCATCCTTAGTAAGCAGGTGCGTAGCAAGTCAATTTCCGTGTAAGCCTGATAGGTTGCAAAGCTTTACATCTAGATAGTATTGAGGACTTGCCCAACCTTTTTAGCAACAATCATGTGTAAGCCGGGGATTTTTTTTATAATGGTAGCTACGCCCCTGGTAAGATTCATCAAACTAGGGTACAAGGGTCAATATTTGGCTCGACAAAAAAGGTACACTTTTCCAAAACAGGGAAAGATTTCCGCCCGTAACCCCGGTATCATGTTGAATAGTGAAAAAATAATTTAAGAAAGAAAATGTCAGATCAGATAAGCTGTTTATTTATCAGTGACGTCGCCCGATAACAACTATAGTGTCCTAACGTTCGTTTGTGTAACGTGAGCGGTTGTCACCAATAAACGAACAAATGCGTTTCAAATTGTTTACTTTTGAATGTTCAGAAGTAAACACAGCGTAACAATGAAAATAGAGATCTGTTAAAAGGTGAAGTTGATCCGAAATAATGATGTTTCATACCAGTCTTTCTCCTCCTGAGTGTTAAGTGTTGAACAAGATCCTGCCTGGTTAATATTCGCAAAAGTTCTAAAATATGCTTGAAATTCGATTCGTCGATTCTGCCCAACCTCTCCAAGCTCAGGAGAAAACTGTAGCCATCTTTGGCCTGGAGAAAGAAATCGTTCGCATGGTAGAGACCTCCGTAGATAAATGTTAAAGCTTTAATGTCGTCTGGTGTAAGCTGATCTCCGACAATGCGGAACATTTCATGTAGGGCTAAAACATCACCAACATTTTTCCCGTCGGAGACGATGGACGCCATTTTGGAGATGAAGAAAATATTACTCCGCAGTGAATATTCATTCCCACAAGCAATGAACATAAAATGTGTATTTTATTTATTTGCAAAATTATGGGAACGACATAAAAATGACACAATTGAAATTGTTGATTTTTTGCTTTCAAGACGTTTCAACAAATCACTTTGCGAAGGAGCACTATCTCCGAGGCTAGACACTGCTTTACCGACAACTACGACAAATATCTTTTTTTTTTATTGAAAACACTGCGGGTGGGTGTCGAACTGTGAAATCTTCAGTTGTAACTTGTCAGTCTGTGTAGTTTAAATACGGCCCAAAGCAACGTTTATCCTTATTGTTGTCATTCATTAACTGTTACATGTTCAAAACGAGATCAGGCTCGCTGACTGAGTTGACACATGTCATCGTATCCCAATTGCGTAGATCGATGTTCATGCTGTTGATCCCTGGATTGTCTGGTTCAGACTCGATTATTTAAAGACCGCCGCCATATAGCTGGAATATTGTTGAGTGTGGCGTAAAACTAAACTCACTCACTCAAAAACGAGATCTTGTGGCCCAAGCATGGCATTATTCCCGTGAGATATATATATCCATGATAAAGGGACCGTTCATAATTTATGGCTTGGTGGTGGTGGGTGTGTGATGATGATTTTTATGGATAAGCATGTACAACGTGAATGCCCCCAAAAAAGTACCCCCCTCCCTGCTTGTCAGGAACAAAATCAATAACCCCCCTTCCCCTTCCCATATTTTTAAGCATAATTTTAAAATATTTTAATGTACACAATTGATGACCCCCAACCACCCCAGAACAAAATGGGTGAAACACACACACACACCCTTAAAAATGATCGTCATCCCCCTAGCCATAAATTATGAACGGTCCCTAAAGTTTTCAGTCGTACAGTGAATAAATGTCTATTAAAGGGGCACTGATCCAGAGCAATTTCCGCGGGCTGGTTATTGCTTTTGTTATTGTTTTTCTCCCGCGAGTACCCGGGTGATATCCCAGAGTTCTTGACTTGTTCGTGACCTCTGCTGCGCCACCCGCATGCACAATTGATGGTATAAGTATAGACTGATCAACAAAGATGAAATCTTGTTTACTTCAATATTATGATAGCAAATGAGGGACAAAGTCACACATTGAACCCACTAGTAACCACTAACCACAAGGCTACACCCTCGCCCTAATAATTTATGGCTTTGGTGTGTGTGTGTGAGAGAGATTTTAAGGGTATGTGTGTGTAGAGGCGGGCGGGGGTGGTCACCCATTTTGTTTTGGGGAGGTAGGGAAAGATCAATTTTGTACACATGTACTATGGGGAAGGTCAGTAATTTAGTCATTGACATGTGGGATGGGGCTCATTTACTTTCTACATACATTTTAGTGTGGGTTGGGTTTTGTTTTTGTTTTTTGTTGTTTTGTTTGTATGTTTTGGGTTTCTTTTTTTAATGTTTTTTTGGTTGTTTGTTTTTGGTTTTTTTGTTTTTTTTGGGGGGTGTGTCATTCACATTGTACATGCTTCTCCATAAAACATCATCAACCCAGGCCATAAATTATGAACGGTCCCTAACGTGTGTATAAATATCAGTTATAATCAAATATTCAAAAGAATATAAAGATCAGCTATGCACAAATTACTGATATAATATATGAATATCTGTTCTACACGTATGTATTAATTTTTGTGTTGAAACACAATGAAGAAGGAGACAAGAATCTAATTGGACCATGGAGCAGCTAACGCAGTACACAGAGAAGCAAGGAAGAACGGCCCTGATGCATTAACTCTATAGTTGTAGATAACTGTGACCTGACTTCAATACGGGATGAAGATGTTATGCATTCGTAATTGAGTGAGTGAGTTTAGTTTTACGCCACACTCAGCAATATTCCAGTTATATGGCGGCGGTCTGTAAATAATCGAGTCTGGACCTGACAATCCAGTAATCAACATCGTGAGCATCGTTCTAAGCATTTGGGACCAATGACATGTGTCAACCAAGTCATCAAGCCTGACCATCCGATCCCGTTAGTCGCCTCTACAGGGTGGAAGCGATGTCCACGCGAAATGTGGAGTTGCCTCAAAAACAACTCCATTTCCTCGCTGGACAGTGAAAGAAGAACACGTGTCGCAAGAGTAGTGGTCAGTTTTCCCTCGCATTTTCATTATTTTGCAAGTATATCAGGTTTTGCTATATGGCAGACGGGTCTAGATGTGTACAGATCTTTCTGTAATAGTTTGACACCCTCTATATTTATTGCAATTGCGCGTTAAGCGAGGGCACCCTCCTGAGTGTCGAAACAAGATCGCGGAAAATGATCGTTTCAACACGAAATATGACATCCTCATCAGCAGACACGCCTTTTTTTGCTGTCAATTGTTAGATATAGTTATTTTAGGTCTTCATTCACAGTTTAGACTTTAAAGCGTCGGTAAGTTATCAATTATCATCGAAAAATCAAACTGTACATTTTATAAGGAGTTGTTCACATTTAGCAAACAAACTGTCCATTGCGTTGTGATTTTACTGTGCAGGGAGTTGCCAGGGAGGTGGGGGAAATCTTAAAACATCAGGTGTGTATTTTCTTTTGTACGTAAGTTTATGATGAATTCAATAAAAAAAATGTATGATAATTATAGCAGAGATGCCAACCCCAAAGTGTTGAAAATAGTAGTTTCAAAGATCAAAATTAGTATTTTGACCATAAAATTAGTAGTCATGATGGATTCTGAGAAAGATAATAGGACACTAATCAAGAGTGAAGCTTTAATTTCACATACCACCAACAACCGATTTCCAAATTATCAGCATTACATTTCTTCTTGTCGACTCTTTTTGGCAAAAATGTATGTTTTTGTCTATATATCCAAATTTTAATGAATTTTCTTCAAATTTCGTAGAATTTCTAGTGCAGTTGTATTGGCGTAGTTAGAGGCTAAAATTCGTAGCGACTACGATGAAATCGTAGAGGTTGGCATCTCTGTTATAGGATTGCAATGTAAATGAAAGATAAAACCCTCCTAAAAACAGATCCTTTGTTTCCGTTGTCAAGGTGGTTACAAACTGACTGTCTTACCAGTTGTAGTCAAATATGTATATGATTGATAACCGAAAGGATTTTGCATGACACAACTTGTAATATAACGATTTCTTCCATGGAAGCGAGGTGGGGGTCGAATTGACAATGTTGTGCGATAGATTTCCTGCTACATTCACATGGTTAACGTCCGCTCACCACTATGTAGATACTAGTCGATCGTGATGAACGAGGCTGATCATCGTTTTCACTAGCGTCTGGCTCGAACAAATAAGTTGTTTAGTGGCATTTTAGAAGTTGAGACGTACAATATGGAACAAGCTTTTATGGATAACAACTTCTTTATTTCGTGAGTGCGACGTTTCGATATAGATAGTCCGACGTTGCCCGTGCTTGACAAGAGTGTAGCAAGACAACGTATTTTAAAAGCGACTCACGAAATAACGAAGTTGTTATCCATAAAAACTTGTTTCATATCGAACAAATAAGGCCTAGCGATTGTTTCTTTATTGAAGATTGAATGGAAATATTGTCGCTGTCTGAATTACTTCCGGACATGTTAGAGTCTGCTCAGCTGTGTACCGAAATGCCAACCCACTGAATTAACCATATTGAAATCACGTGACATAAATGGTTTAATACCCGAGTAAATATGGGAACAAAAGCCAGACCTAGCCAACAGGTAACCGTTATGACACCAAGCGATTTTGACAGTATCGTCTATGAAAACAAGTTGTAACTCGGAAACTAGGAAAAGCAGGCGACAAGATTAAACCACAGTAGATTTTGAAAACATAAAGCTTTCATTTTTCACAACATTTGTCACGATTTCAGGATTAGACAAAACTGTAAACAAGATAATTTACCCCCGGAAATGTACATGAATTCTACAACGCCGCTCACATCAATACCTCACATTACGTCACAGAGACGCGCGCCCCTCTGATTGGTTGAAATTTCATTCGCGGGAGAGAATTGTGCAGTGTTGTCAAAAAGGTCGATTTAAGTTAATTAAGGTTCGAAATGAGTAGTTTTATTGACTGGGTTTCATGTATAACGATGCCATTAAATGATTTATGCATTTGTACCCCCCCTAGAGTATATGTGATCTTTAACTAAGAGTGAGTGAGTGAGTGAGTTTTACGCCGCTTTTAGCAATATTCCAGCAATATCACGGCGGGGGACACATGAAATGGGCTTCACACAGTGTGCCCATGTGGGGAATAGAACGCGGGTCTTCGGCGTGACGAGCGAACGCTTTAACCAGTAGGCTACCCCACCACTCCCTTTAACTAAGAGGTTGGTAAGACTTTTTAGTGTAGGCAGAATGAGAAGTTACCCAGTCTAAGTAAACTTACTGAGCCTAAGTTTACTTAGACTGGGAAGTTACCATGTATTTTTTACCCTCCTGTGATATGATATGAGGTTAAACGTCCTGTACAAGACTGTTGCACGTATTGCACACACGCGTATGATGTTCGTCACGGCCCTTAAAAGGGATGTGGAAGTTGGTATAACATAAATAGATCCACTTTTCATCAGCATTTACCTGATGAAAGAACAAGAATTAGTGAGTGAGTTTTAGTTTTGGCATCATTCCAGCAATATCACGACGGGGGGACGCCAGAAATGGGCTTCACACATTGTACCCATGTGGGGAATCGAAGTGGGTGCTTTAAGCAATTAGTTTGGAAAAGTGGTGATGCAAATATTAAAGGTCGATGTGCGTGTGTAATGCTAGTTTCGTAATGCTTCCCCTTTGAGATACCCTGACATGGATTTCCCAGACTTATACATGTGGCTGAAACTCTAATGTCCACGTATCCATGGGAACTGAAGGTTGTGAGTGAAATGTACACGTTTCAGCCAGTAACAGCCGTGAGAAGCAGCTGTAAAATCTATACCATCAACACTGTACGGCCGCACTTTGTGATCAGGGCCCCGTTCCTCAAAGC